TAGTTTAGATAAAGAATTCTGAAGATTCATAAACAAAAATGCTGAGGTCCTGGTAGTCGAAAAAGCCGGGTAGCGCAAATAAACTAAATTTAAATGAGTCGTCTCGTAATCAATTTTGCTGGATTGAGTGATGAAACGCTAAATAAAGATCTTTTCTGTTTTGCTGCCGTTATTGAAGGTTGCTCTATCAACAAACGTGAAACTTCCTATGTCAACAACAAACCCAAGAGAGAGAGAGAGAGAGAGAAAGAGAATTGGTTACTATTTAAACTAGCAAGACAGCAGTATTACGCCGTCATTTTTTCATTTCGCGACGAGCCTATGATAGTGTAACTGTGACAAAGCGAATGTAAGTACTCCAAAGGAAAATCTTCTCTATGTTTAGTCACTGAATTGAAAAAGGCATTGGTGAGCTTTGAAATAGTTTGCTAAACAATAGAAGTTAAATATATAATTTTGAAAAAACACTTTGAGGCCTATCGAATGTTCTACAAACGATCCTGCTTTCATTTTTAGTGTATCGATCTATCCTTCAAGAGAGGCAATGAGTTACTCAGAGCCCTGCGGGACAGTCCCAAATCCCGTTTGTCCCATCCCACGGGACAAACGGGACTGTCCTGAAAATTTTTCGGGACGGGACAAACGGGATTCGGGATAATTCAAACAAATCATTGTCCCGAATTTTAAAATTCTAATATTAGTGCATGTTATGTACTTCAAACTTTTTATTTATAACAAGTCTTTTAATATTTAAATGAATAACAGTAAAGAGAGAAAAAGAAATATTGAACCATGTATTTATAAACGATCATCATGATCATTGTTCTCTTCAGCCACTTGTTTTGGGGAGTGTTCGGAAATCAGGGGAACACTTAGGAAGTTGGAGATCTCGAAATGATCACTCACGATAGCCCAGAAGTTGCAGGAGTCCGGTCGACTGATCGCGTGACCGGAAACCTGGATTTTTACAAGTAAATCAGGAGGATGTTCCGCTAAACATCGTGTGTCATGGGAATAGGATCGAAAAATTATTCATGATCGCATGCTAGGAGGAGAACCGAAACGGTCAGAAAAGTAATCAAGAGATTTGGGAACAGTAAGTTGATTGTATACAAAAAGGTCTTGTTCTCTTTGACAGAAAGACACGATATCTATACATTTTTTGTTAATGGAACAAACGGGATTTTACGGAACGACTCAAAAAAATTCGGGACGGAACAATCGGGATTCGAGACGCCTCAAAGAAATTTGGAACGGGACGACCGGGATTCGGGACTATTCAAAAATTTTTGGGACGGGACAAACGGAATTCGGGACACGAAAAAGTTTGCCCCGCAGGGCTCTAGTTACTCGACAAGGATACATAGCTTGTCATACCGTAAAAGTAACTGCATGAGAAAAAGACGAACGAATTCCTAGTCAGAATTACTGATCAACTTTCCATGTCAACTTGACGCCTATAGCATCTCATAGCTAAACATGTCCTACGTAAGAAATCAGATTGTTCAGAATTCTAATCATATTGCGTGAGCAATAATTGACACCTTTGAAACAAGTAGATTGGTTCAGGGTGTCGGTATCATCGTGGCCGTGGGTGACAACAAAAGCGAAGATTATCCAGTATCCACAAGTACAAGCACACCCACACCCTTCTCCCAACGCACACCCCATACCTACACCTACACCCACACGCCACAGTCACAGCTACACCCCACACCCGCACCACACCCTCACCCACACACACACCCTCATTCCTGAGAATTCTCGGGAATTTCCACCGATTTCGGAATTCTCGGGAATTCCTACAGATTCTGGAATTCCTGGAATTCGACCTACGCTTGGGATCGCATGTAATTTCGAGAATTCCTACTGATTCCTACCGATTGAGGAATTCCGAGAGTTAGGCCTAATTCCTGAATTGCATCGAATTCCGGCAATTGAGTCGAGACGGAATTCCCACGGAGTTCGTGGGAATTCCTACCGATTCCGGAATTCGATGAAACTCAACCGATGTCGAGTAGGCCTCTTATATGGTAAGACGATGGGATTCCTGGAATTGAACGGAACTGATTCCGGGGGCGAAACTGATTCCGCAATGTTCAAAATAGCGGAACAGGATGAGTGCTGGTGATCTTAGGGTGTGGATGGATGTGAGTGTGGATCTAGGTGTATGTGTGAGTATGCAATAAATACGAACAGCCACATCCACACACCCACACTCACATCCACATTCACATGCACACACCCACACTCACATCCACATTCACATCCACACATCCACACTCACATCCACATTCACATCCACATCCTTACAGAAATTTTCGAGAAATTGTTTTTCTGTGTAGTTAAATAAGAATCACCTGGATAGTAAAGCTTGGAACGTCAATGACAGCCATATGATTAAAGTCAGTTAATAACTATAATTCAGGGATATATGGTAGATCCTTCGAGGTGATACTAGTACTAGGTGATTGTTAATGAGAAACTTTTGCCATATGGTTGTGATCGACGTTTCAAGCTCTTTTTATCTCGATAATTACTATTCAATTGGTTGGAAAACATTTTGCTCGAAATTTTCGTACTCACCCTCAGGGCTATAGAGAGTCGGAATTTTCTCCCTTTTCGAGAGGACTGTTTAGATTATTCTGTCTAGAATGAAGTGCTAATCGTTACAATATAACAAACCTTATGAATAAACGGCATTAAAAACGTCTCATCGTCGTTTTTCCCTAAGCTTGTTCATCTGATTACTAACAATGTAAGTTTTATATCGCTTTAAAAGTCAGCTTTTGTTTCTCAACATTTTGGTACCATTTTGTACAGAGTCAAAAGTTACTCAATCACGTTTTCTCATTTCAAAAAACCCAAGCAGATAAAACATTCCTTGACTTTTAGACATAAAATTCTAATAGACATTTTTGCAACGATTTATGCCTGTTTTCTTGACATTTGGTAAGTAATGTTAGAAAATCTGAAATGGGCTAGCTTCACTACTCTCTAAAAAAAATTGGTGTCATAGTGAACCTTTTAAGGTTCTAGATTTGGATACCATTTTAAGAACCTTTTTTATAGTTCTAGCCGAAAAATTTAGAACTTAAAAAAGTTCTAGATTTTCTGGCTAGAACTAAAAATGGCTCTTAAAATGATACCCAAATCTAGAACCCTAAAAGGTTCAGTCGGCCAACTTTTTTTTACAGAGTACAGAACATCTGGATGAGCTAAAAGTTTGGATTTAGTGGTTTCAGATGATGACCTTTCAAATGCATGTAGCAAAATCAAAAATTTAAATTTTGACCGGCTCCTTATGTATTCGGGTGATTCTAGATATTCTCACGGAAGTTCTTTTAAGTGATTATGAATGATTATACACCATCATTGAATCCTCTTAGATTCATGAGTTCCTTACTCGAACCACTTAATTGGTACAGTCCTCACAATGTGTGAGGATGAAATAAGAAAGAAAGCGCATACTTTAACGCCACTGAACATCATTTTTTTATTTACATGAGAGTGTCTCTAAGTAGATCACAGTGCCAATACCTGTTTCGAAGTATCGTTAAGTAATTCAAATTAGTAGCATTTACATAGTACGCTGTTTCAAACTACAAATGCTCTGAAAATGTAAGCCAAAAGCCATTACTTTATGTGAGAGTGCTGCAACATCGAGAGCAAACGGTACTGCACTACATGACAGTGTTAAGTGGGTCAGTGAATTGTCCAGAACTTTTACACCTATAGAAATTTCGCATTTTTGATGACAGCTAGATGATGTATATATACGAAAAAAATGATATCTTGAGAAACTGCGTCCAACAAATAACCTTGTAACCAACCATATAAATAACAGCTTCGTTTTTAAATTTCAATAGGTGGTTCTACCGAAAAATCTATTTTAATAACACCTTCCATACAAAAATTCTACGACAACTTGTTTCATATACCTATAGCGCTCATCGTAAGTCAACTTGAATCACAAAAAATAATTCAAGATAACTTCGTTTTCTTATTTGTTTCATTCGTAAAGAAATTTTCATGATTCGATTTATTTTGAACCTGAATTAGACAACTGCACGGTCTGACATGAGCATAAACTACTAATCCAGAACCGACTGGACTCGACTTTCCAGAAAATCTCTCTATCAATCTGATGCTAACCAAAAGAATTTGTTTTTCACAACAAGAGGACATGGTGAGGCTAGACATTAAACAAATAATTACTCTTAGATGATTAGAGGAAAAAGACAATAAAGAATATATTTAATGAGTCTAGGATCGTCACGCCATAAAAAAACGCCACTATGTCTTATAGTCAAACCGATGTTCAACCATCCTTGACGACAATACCTTTGGCTAATCTTTCAACAAATTGCTGAACAACAGATTCTCTGTATTCTCGCTATTTATCGTTTTGACGATCGATCTGCTGCAGAAGAACCAATTGAAGATGCTCCAAATCCCATCGACTAAGATGAGCCAGGGTATTAAAAGTTTTTAAGATAGACGTACGAATTTTGCGCAGAACTTCATCGAAATAGAAAATAATTCTTTAGTCAAATTTTCGTTGCGTGACATTAGTTAGTTCATTCAAAAACAGAGAAGCAATTTGTTTTTTTGTAATGAATATCCATTTTACGGTTAAATTGAAGTGTAATCAGTCATAGCATATGTACACATACCGGACCTGTGATCGTAGTTTTTAATAAAAAACGTGAATAAACACTTATAAAATCTAAGTCAGACACCTTATCTTTTTTGTCTGCTCTATTGTAGTTTAAAATTGAAATAGTTTTACAATGTTATTGGTAAAATATTCATATTACTGTCTCATATTTTTCAATCTAATTCACATAAGTTTATGTGCACGTCCAACATTCAATACACTATTTCATGTGGCAGGTAATGAAAGTATAGATCCACGTACTGGTTTGCCTTTGGATACAACTACAAAGAAACAAATATTGAACATAAAGAGACAAGCAATTATCAAACAAGTAAAAGCCATGCCGACCTCGTCATCACCACACATGATGATTGATCAATTAAAATCTGTTCAGTTAAATGCGACAGCGAAACTTAATCTAACAGCTTGTATCGCACTCAATCTTATTGAATCGTTGCAATCGGTCACTTGTACTAAAGGTACGCTCAAAATGACCTTTGATACTGCTGCTAATAGTGCTTATACGTATCAACAATGGATTCAACGAAAAGTTCAATTTGTTAATGGAGGAAAAGAATGGAATTGTACAAATTCAACTACGGGAGAAGTTATTTTGATTATGATGAAACTTATTCCCAATACATTTACTTTAAAAGGAAATCAAATTACCGTCAAAACAACAAATGACACAGGTATTACACCACTTGTCTGTTTTGATAAGATAGTAATGAAAATGACAACTGAACAAGAATCAACGAAAGAAACAAGTTCAACGACTAGCAGCACAACAATGGCTACTCAAACTACGACCACAACATCAGTGACCTCACCAACGGTGACTATGAGCGTGATGACCAAGGCGTTATTGCCAATCAATATGACATCAACAATAAAAACAAAGAGTAATGAAACAATACGTGGATTTTGTTTTGGTATACCTGATTCCACAAACGTTTATTTTATTGAACAACCCTCGACCGGCCAAATATATCAACCGGGTAACGAAATTTACATAAGATGGTCGTTGAACAGTAACTTTGATCAATCCAAACAGATACAAATTATACTGAAGCGTACTCGATTTGCAGTAGCAACAAACATTTATACATGGGTTGCACGAGCAGGACAATTTCAAGCGTATATCACAATACCTAGATCATTGGAAATATCAACAACTGAAACGTATTTCATCGATTTTTATTGGGTCAATACTTGTGGCCTTGTTCCTCATTGGACGTCAACTAATGTGTTTAGAATACCTACTGCTCCATATATTACAGCCAGTTCCTATTATCCATCGAGTCTATCCACATATTATCCCGGTGACAATGTTTTCATACAGTGGTCGGTAACGCGTACTTTTCCCTCGAATATTCAAGTTAGAGTAATATTTAAACGCTATCGATCGATTATTTGGGATGAAGAAATGGAATATAGATTGGTGTATCCATCGCAAGGTTTTTATTATTACGAAATTCCAAGAAATCTCGCCAAAAATGACAATGATGATAGATATTATTTCCAATTGAATTGGTATGATTGTTCATGGATTTCCGTCACGGACTCAGCGAGCACTTATACGAGTAATACGCAGTATATTTATGTGCCGACAAAGCCGCTAGTGTTCCCACAATTACCAGCTACGGGTGACAATTATGTGCTAGGTAATCCTATTCGAATAGAATGGGTAGCAAAAAATTTTGATTCAACAGCGAATCAAAATTTTATTATAAAATTAAAACGTTATCGACCAATTATTTACGATGAAACAATTTATTCGCTGCGATCATGTACAAATCCTTCCTTAGGCTTCTGTTTCGACTATCTAATATCCGTCGTGGAACCATCAACTGCCGATTTCTATTATTACTTCGAGTGGTGTGACTGGTGGCCTTACTCATGCTCGCAGACTGGTAATCGTTTCAAAATACCTGCACATGTTACTGGTGGATGGAATTATAATACTCAGTTAGCCCGAGCTAATTCACCAATAACTATATTCCGTATTGATTGTAATTCAAATCCAACCAATTTTGTCGCACGCTTATGTAATGAAAATCGTCAAATGACAATTGATTTAACATGTACAAATTGTTATTTGAAATATGATTATAGCATTCTAAATTTGGATCTAATTGCAAGTGGTGGCGTTCTTGGTACAATGAATATCAAGTTTAAATCAGCAACAACAGTGAATTTAGAGTTATTGTTAACATCAAATTATGTTTATGAGAAATCAGGGACAATATCATCCATGAAGATAAACTTGTTTGGCTTTGGCTTTTCGATACTTGGTTATTCATTCGAATCTGGTTGTTTTCTCGATGTTGATCTACCCTACTCAATTCGTTTAGACGCACTCGGACGTATATCAACTGGTTTACAATATGTCTTAAATACTCATTTTACTTTTAAAGTTAATAGTGGAACGCCTTCACACGAATTGTCGATGACATTAGATAAACAATATTATCCAGTACAAGCAAGTTTCAAAGCTAACCTCACGGTTGAAATTGGTTTAAAGCCAACATTACGAATGTCCGCTGTTATAATTTCTTTTAGCATCACTACAGAAGGTTTTCTAAGACTTGAAAATCAATTTCAATTTCCACCATTTCCATCAATTGCCTCGAATATTTACGATTACAATATCGATAAGCCATCCTTAAATCATTATTCTTATCCATCAGATGCATGTAGTACACAACATTTATTACGATATCACATTCAATTTGGCATTCGCAATTCATTATTAACTTTTGATGTCAACATTCGTTTTCTCACAAATTTTATCTCAATACCAATACAAACACATTATCAAGAAATATTTCTCGATTCAAATGTGGCCGAATTAGTTAGCGGTTGTTTTTTCAAAGTACCCAATAATGATTATTCACAATCAGCACATTTATATTTGGACATTCCATTCGACTCATCTTCCTCCTTCTCAGACTATTTTAAAACATCAATAATATTTGAAATGGCAAAAGTTTTAAATATCGATCAAACACGAATATTGTACAATGAAGCACAAGCATATTATGCTCAAAACGTACGAAAATATGTTACTCTTGTTCGTGTATCACTCTTACCATCAATTCTATCAAACATTTCCGATCCAACTGTACGATCCTTAGCTGATACGCTTTTAGCACAAGAACTGAATTCCTCATCGATACTTTACACTGGTACACAATGGTTAAAATTCTTAATGAAAAATTTAACACAACAATCAAATATTATTAATGGTATTGTGACAACAACAACAACAACAACAACAATAAAAACATCAACAACGCAAAGTAAGAGTTCCATTTTTGAGAATATGCTTCTTTTATACCACTTTATTCATCAGCAAGAATGTTACTTTTCTTCCAATCATTCCCTAGTCTTTCTGGATTGATAAGGAAATTAATACTGCCATTTTTGATTTCATCAATCTAGTTGATCATATGGATTTTCTGGTATAAGAACAAGTATCTACAGTCGATTTAAATTATCTAGACACTACCTAGAGATTTTTGAAGGATTGTTTTTTATGAGAATCTTTTGCTAATAATGGACGAGTTGCACGGAAGAGATTGGTTTGAAAGATTTAAGAATAGTCCATGATTTGACAGAGATTCAGAGAAATTTTGTTCTTGCACTTGGTACCGAAGACAAAGGAAGGGGGGCGTTAAGAAGCGAAAACGGCCCCTCGTCGGAGTTCGACCTT